GCTCCTCCAGTATACTCAGTTTATTGACCTTGGAAGGCTGAGTGATCCTTGAGCCAGCCACCTGAGATTGAACCCGGGTTGTGAGTACAGTTTTGGCTGTAGTACTGCAGTTTAACCACTGCATCATGAGGCTCCTCAAGAGAAGCTCATTCCATAACAGGGAGGGAAAAATAAATAACTACTCAGAGAAGCTTCTCTTATTCCCTATAGGATATATCTCTCAAACCTCAGGGAATGGACTGACTTAAACAGGAGTGTGTCAGACCCAACCTGATGTAGCGGGTAGAGTACTTGACTAGGTTTCCAGAGACCTGGGTTCAAATTCCTCTCAACCATGAAAGCTCACAGGTGGCAATGAGTTGAACATCCCAGATATCTTTAAAACCCTTTGGGGGGTCACCATAAGTCAGAAATTACTTGACAACATGTAACACATACACACAAAAACACAGCGAGACACTCTCCTTTCCAGCGAAAAAAATGGAGCAAGAAGCATTTCCAGACTATGAGCAGGATTCAGATTCAGATTTCTGACCTTTATTCAGACCACCACTGCATCAATAAAACAATATGGCTACAACTGACTCACTTTTTTTAAAAAAATATCCTTATTGTGCAATAGAATCTGCATCTACTGTATCAATAATCCAAATTCCTTAGTGAGCACTCCCAGTGGTTCGAACAGTATTTGGGGTTACTGTTTGCTTTCTCAAGAGAGAAACAGGTTCTTTCAAAGCAGTGTACATTTCTTCCACACACATTGTTTTATCATAGCCTGGACCTACTCAGGTAACGTGTCAGCTAGTTTGAATAATGCACAAAGGACGAAGGTACATGTGGTTAAATTATGTGATTTTAAATACTCCACGTCCAATCTCTGACGACAACAGCTAACACTGCTCCCCGAAACAGGACCAGACAGTGCATCAGATACTTCAAAGGGCCCTGCCACAAAAATAGCATCCAGAGATAATCACAGAAGAAAACAGTGTTACTCTCAGGACTTGCAAACTTGGCACAGCAGGCCATAAGGAGTGCTTGGTTACTTTTAGATTGAGTCCTATGCCATTCAGTTTCTAGCAACTTTAGTCCACTTTTCTCACCAAAATACCAAGGGTCTATACATACTCTTTTAGAACCACAGAAAATCCAGAAGTTATCATATTGATTATTCTATAGATCTCTCTTTTCCAGAATGAGACAAAGGTGCCCACAGAGTTACTCTCCATTATCATGAATCAGAGCTAGGCAGATCTTTGGACAGAAATAGCCAAAACATTTGTTTTTAAAAGGGGCCTAAATAAGCATTCCAGGCCTAATAAGCCTAGATTGTCCCTTGGTTTCAGATCACATTGTGGTAAATTTTTACTTCCTCCACATGTTGGATAATAATCTAAGAACATTTTTAGCATTATGGCTTATACTGTGATATTGACTATTAGTTATTGCTACATTATAAAATCTAATCAACATCATTTTTTGTGGCAACAACAAAGACGCTTGTGACACTTTAAGATAAACAGGCTTTACCTAGCATAAGTTTTACTGGACATCTGATGTTGGCCACACAACACAGTGCACTAAAAACCTTGGAAACTTGTTAATATTATGCCATAAGACATTTTATTGTTTCTACTGTGAAGAGACTAATTTATTAATGTTCTTTCTAAACCCAACATGTGCTGGCTCATTCTAAGCTTTTCCTTGTTTTGTACTGAATACAATTACTAATCAGATTCTAATAGTATTATAATTTTACATAAATATGTTAATCATCTACTTTCTCAAGTTCATTTTATTCTACTCAAACACCTTCACAGCATTTCCCCTGACTTTCTGCAAAAGCTGTGCTGAGAATGTAAGAGTTCAATGTGCATGTAAAAAAAAAAGCCCAGGAGTTTAGTAGACTTCCTAAGTGCTTAGGCCATACCAGATGCTGTAATCCAAAATTAGCTGAAGCACCTTAATTGCCAAACTATAATTCTTCATTGTTTTACGAGTCAGTCAAATAGCATAGTAATCACTACATTGTTATATCATTGATGTCAACAATAGCCTCTCATTAAATGCACACAATCCCATTATTAAACTTTTACTTTCAGTGATAAAGAATGATCTTTGACATTACAGATGATACTATACTGGGTCACTAAAGCCCTGTCTGTCCCAAACAGGGGCCTCCATCCAAGCTCTGAAATTCAAACTAAGGTATAGACCATCAACAGGTTGCCTATAATGCTTTTCTATTTTTGCATTATAAACAGCGCGACGACAAAATTATATTCACTGTGGGCAATGAGGTGTAAGAAAAGCTAAATAATCCATTTATAAATAACAAGAGAAGATAAAGAAATTAAATGCCAAAACTAGATTTAAAAAGTAACATGAATAAACAGATTTTATTTTCCTTCTGATCCATGCTCACAAACTCTTAGCTAAATTCTTATTTTCTTTGTGAAATCAAAATAATGGTAATTTAAAGGCTTATTTTCTGTAATTCTGCTGAACAATTTATCAAATAAATGTTTAATCTGAAAAATAATATGCCGGAGTATTATTTGGATTCATATAACAATGAGTACAATATTGCTGTAAACAGAATATGTATTTTATGATATCTATAAAACCATTAAATATGTTATCCTGCCAATTATATGCCTACAGGAAATATAGACTAAAAATAAGACATTGTAGTATTTCATAATTTTAAATAAATGTATGATATTGCTTAGGCAGCAGAAAAACAAATAAGCATCTAGAAAAGCAAAAGCACAAATATGGCAAAGAAGGAATCTAAAACCTTTATTCAATATTGCTTGCCCTATTATAACAGTATTAAAAGGGTCATTGGCTTAGTTATCTAGCTGCAGAGCCAGAGGTTGGGAGTTCAATTCCCTGCTATGCCTCCAGAAAGAAGAGTGAACATGTGTGGCCTTGGGCCACAGTCCCAGGGTTCCCCCAGAAGGAGAGAATGGTAAATCTCTCCTCTACCTGGAAAACCTTTAAAAAGTACTGTATCGTCATAGCTCAGAATTGACTTGACGGTACATGATTATTTATTTTATTCAGAAAGATGCTCTGATTGCCTGAACTATACTCATGAAATGAGCATTTATAACATAGACTATAGCTACAATCCTATGTACACTATCCTGGAAGGAAGATACACTGAATTCAACAATGCTTACTTCTAAGCAGACTTATATAGGATCACATTCTAAACTGATTTTTTTTAAAGTACTGTTACATTTTCAGTAATTTATTTGTAAATGCCATTTGATTGTTTAAATATTCAGGATCACTTCTTACATTATATATTTTCTACTAACGGAAATATATATAGGCAAATTAAGATTACTGGCTACTGATTAAGAAGCTGGTTACTGATTTGAGATAAGATCTTGATTTAGCTATTACAGTGTAATACATTTCATCCCTCTTTATTTTTTACTTTATTTGTATTTTATTGTGTAGTCACTTGATTGCTTTTGATTTAGTCTCTCTCTAGAACAATCAGAAACACACTATTGCCCCTATTGAATATTGAATTCTGGCTTCAGTACAAAAAATATGAAAGCAATATCATTCTTGAATTATTTCAGATTTTTGGTTCTTACATACAGAATAACTTACAGAAATCTGTACATCTGCACAGTTGCATCATTGATGACTTTGTACCAATTAATCACTGTTTTGGAACACTAACAATGTTTACAGGGCATCATAAACTGAATTTTATACCTCCTTGAGTACACAGTAGTAACTGCAGCACATGGCTACTGCCTCTTTAAAAATCTCCCCATTTGGAATCTCATCTACTATATACTATATACATCTTATTTATTAGATTTAATTGCACATTATTTTTTTACTACAATGACTTGAAAAATTGGTACAGCAACCTGTGTCTGATTGTGGTGCAAGATGTCACAATAGGGTAGATCTGGATGAAATATTAGTTGCTTGTACGCAGTGTATAAAATCATATGTGCAATGATACTTTGGATTAATATCATCTAGAAATTAAAGTTGGTAATATTTCACTTGGATATATTTCAAATGCTTTAGATATCCACTAATCCAATTTCTTAAAACCCTATTGAAAGCCCTATTGTAAATTTTAAAAAACAAAAGGGTTATATAATAGTTCTCTCTATACTGAAACAAATCACAACTGTGTAAGATGAATTTCATTGGCACAAAACCATGTCTTTCATACAGTGTATGCCAATTTTCTGTATTAATAGTAATATTGCTATAAATAATATTTTACAACTAGGAAAGACAGTGAAATGTGTGGGGAAGAACAAATTTTGAACAACAGGTGTGGTAAGTGTTACTATACCTAAGCACTAGAAGGTGCATTTTTCCTGCCCATATTCATCTTTGCAGGAAGGTTCCATTGGTTAAAGTCCTACACAAATATGTACATTATATGTCAAAGATATATGGGTTGCCCATCTCTGTTAACTCTTTCATAGTCAAATGTAGGTGGGCTTTAAGTCTACATTTAAAGGAGCAGCTATTCATTTTCATACATGTAGAATACTGCACACAAAAAATCCCTCAGAAATGCAACAGTTCTTTACCAAGGCTTCAGCACTGAATAGAGAGGAATAGAAATCAGTCTTGATTTTCTTCTAACAAATACCAAATCTAAGTAATGATCCAAGTAAAGACTTATTAATCAAATCTGAAGACGCATACATCCCCTACAGGGCAGCATGTTGTCAACACAGGCAATGTTATCCTCCTCAGGCGTGGTATAGAACCATTGTGTTTTTATTTTCTGTAAAAATGCTTGGAAATGAATATTAACCAAATGGAACTGTAGCTCCAAATCCCTTTGTCCACATTGATAACATCTAGGATTATGTAAAATGTTTACCCTAAAGCACACTGCAAAATACAAAACAGATCCCATTCCATGCTATGTAAGATATCATCAGGAAAACAAATAGAATATCAATTTAAACTATTACATGCAGAAAGTCACTTACCATAAATTGCACATTGTCAAATCCATTAGCCAGCAAGTGGTTCTCATACTGAGGTAGCCCAATACTTTCCAACCATTGTCCCACAGTCTGGCCAGGGCATCTAGGAACTGAAAGAGTTTGAGAAGGGAGGCGTTTAAGCAGTGAATATCCATCCACAGGGTAGTAACGATGGTCCTGGGCTGAGAGGTGGCATTGCCACATTGTGTTCCGGGAGAAGTTGGTATCAAAGGAGCCCGCCAGCTTGTCAGATTAATGCTTCCAGTAAGCAAGAAAGTCAGAAGTAGCACATAGTTTCCAGGGCAAGCTGTAGAGTGAGATCTGTCCCTAGCTGAACATTTCGTAGGTACTAATCTCTACTACAGACCAGTACGTCATGCGGTGGGGAGGGAAAGCATATCAAGCTGTTTTCCGTTATATATGATTGTTGAAACACTCCACAATGAGCAATGCACTGCTAGCAGCAAGAAATCTTTTATCAAGTACTCCTACACTCATCAGTATGCAGCTCCATGCTCCTTGCTCCCCCGGCTTGCTCCCCTTCATTACCCAGCCTAGGCTACACCTCGCATTTTCAATAATAGCCATCAGATAAGGCAGATTTTTTTTGTCTGCAAGCTGTAAGCTTGCTGCTGCTGTTGCTTCCACCTACACACCCATCCAAGCGTCAATCTTGAATGATGAGAGCAGTCAAAACAAATGCAGAAAATAGCAGGTCATCACAGGCAAGCTAAAAAGCTAAAATCTGAATAGAACCTTCCTACCAGTTATGCATTAGAGAGATGTGCTTGCCGTAGATTTTTCATGTTTGAAAAGACACGAGGCAATGCAAAAGCATTAGCTGTAGCCTATGGCATGTTTTACTACTTGCTGCTGCTGTTGCTTTTTTGTTTTTTTAAAAAAGACTGCACTGAGGTTTGCTCTGTTCACAGTATTCTCTACAGCATTGTCCCAATTATAAATTCTTTTCACCAGCCAATGAGGGATGGGGAAAAAAAACAGCTGCATGTTTTCTTGTTAAAACTGAAATTGAGAATAACCTAAATTGTACAACATCCATTCAGTCAAAATAATTATTTCTTCATCTCCCAGATCTTTCAGCCATAAAATACTGCCAGACATGCCAGCAAAACCTTCATTACAATATACTTAAATTATGTCTGAAAAGGTCATCCATTCACATTAAGAGTTAATAGGGTATTTTAGTATGTAAAAAGAGTTGAATTTCTTTCTCAGAAAAGGAATTGCTTGAATAAAAAAAGATATATTAACATTATGAAATTCAGAACATACGGAAGACAGAACATTCAATGTTTCTGAATTTAACAGATGTAGATGAATAATCTGGAAACTACATTAATAATTCATTCATAAACTGATTTTCAACATTTCATGATGCTTTGAAATAATCAAATACAATGTTTAATTTTAGAGGGAATGATTTATTTGTTCTATCATTGTAAATATACATGAAAATAGGGTTTGCTACTAAAATGACCCCTCCAGTGTATAATCTTGCTTTTCTTAGCCTAGAAGCCTTTCCAAAACACATTAATTACAGGCATGTTACCATAAGACAAATGTGCACACCCTGCATGTTACTACAAATTTGGGTATGTATAAACATGCCCTCAATTGCTTTTGACCTTAATGTTGCACAGTGGCCTTGTGTATGAATCAGAAAGCACAACAAACTGTGACTCATGTCTACTGTTTTTGAAGTAATGGGGAAAGTCCTGTGTTGATTTCAACAGATTCTTAAATCCTGTAACCTGACTGCTCATACCATTTGCTGTTCTAACAACCCTCAGTGACTCTGGAAGTTGAGTCATGGCAACTGGACTTCTTTCTTATTAGGTTGAAACGTTTTGCTACTCATCTAAGTAGCTTCTTCAGTCTCAAGAATCTACCTGGATGAGTAGCAAAACATTTTAACCTAATAAGAAAGAAGTCCAGTTGCCATGACTCAACTTTCAGATAACCTCACCTGGATAACTGAGAATCTTCACAGATACAACCCTCAGTGAAGAATTACTGAATGTGCAAATACTCATTGAAGACTTCTAGCCAATACAATTAGTCATATTTGTTGCTCATATTACATTCATCTAAATTAGAGTCGCAAGGAATGTAAGCACAAAAGGATTGGTTTAGAATGTGAAGAATCAGAAGAAAAGAATGTTTTCTAACTAACTGTATTTGAAAGTGAAGTTCAACTAACTCAGTGAAATTTACATTCTAGCAATTAAACTGATTTTAGATATGCCTAAACCCACTGCTTGGGTATACTTAACTCTGCAAAAGGAAGGGACTCTTGGGCATCTAATTATACCTACCTACCTCCACGGGAGGGGATATGAGGCTGCCTTGGAAGATATCATTAAAAAATATATATGATATTGATATCCAGACTACCATGCATCTGTAATTTGTTGCCACCCCAAAAGGATTTACAAAGGCTTTTCCTTGTCTTTTGGAAAGCTTCCCTCTTATTTGTTCCTTATTAGCTCACACAAGCCACAGCAACTGTTAACTAGGTGCAGATTGAACTTGCTGCAGTTGAAAGAAATTCAGGGATGTTACATGGTACAGCCAGACATGGTCCAGCAGGATGCTCTAAAATGGAGGACATGGTATACGTTCTAACAGAATGTCCTCTGTATGCAGATCTGAAGGACCAATATCTAAAATACTGAACAACGGGGATCAAGAACAGTTCTTCCCTACACACAATCCTATTCCTGCTAGCTGACACAGACAACTATATATCCTATAGGACTGCTAAATTCATTAAACGAACCACAGAAAGACAGAAGTTATTGCCTGCTTCACAGGTTCTTCAGGTTAATCTCACATCTTGAGTTGGTTTTTGAGAATGCTTCGTGGCGCAGTGGTTAAAACGCTGTACTGCAGCTAAAACTGTGCTCACGACCTGGGGTTCAAATCCCAGGTAGCCGGCTCAAGGTTGACTCAGCCTTCCATCCTTCCGAGGTTGGTAAAATGAGTACCAAGCTTGCTGGGGGGGCAATGTGTAGCCTGTATAATTAAAATTGTAAACCGCCCGGAGAGTGCTTGTAGCACTATGGGGCGGTATATAAGTCCAAAAATAAATAAATAAATAAATAAATAAAATAAATATTTTATCACTATTATTTTACCATTGTATGTTTTTTTATGCTTGTTTACATGCACTTATATGAGATATCAAATACTGTTTTAAAGATAGGCTTAATTTACGTTCTTAAGAATAGCCTGATTGGCTACAAAGAAATTAAGTATTCATTAACTCTGCAAAGGCTTATGAAAGTATGTATAGATTTGCCAACCACATTACTGAACATAATTTAAATATCTAAAATAAACTATGACACATGTAAAAAGGTTCCTGGATTTTCCTCCAGGTTTAATTATCTGCTAGGAATTAGCATGTTTTAAAGGGGGGGTGTAATATTAAAATAACTGCAAACAGAAGAGCAAAAAGAGACAGTGAGGTCCAGAGAACTGGACCAGGACTTGTAATTTGTAATTAATAAATAAGTATACCAGGGAGACTGCAGATATATATATACACGGAGATACTCAGGAAGATTCCATCTTCCTCCAGCCACAAAATATACTCATAATTTGGCTTAAACTGACTCTCTTTTTTGCCCATGTGCCACCTAAATCTAATCTCCACTTTTTCTGTTTATAAGAATTACTAAATTTCTGGCTGCTTCTTCCTCCCAGCCAGCACAAAAGCCATACATTTTAACAAAAAACAGCTGCAGTTTTCTTGAATAACTAGTGAGCCTTCGTCAAGAAAAAAAATGAAAAGAGGCAATTGAGTCTAGACCCCTAACTGCTTGACTGTTTGTCTGTAGGAACGCTTTGCCCCAAAGTGTCGTCACAGCCAAGGCATGACAGGAGGGGTGAACTGAAAAGTTGTCTGTGCCATGGCACAAACCCTGGACACCACTGCTAACATGCCTTCATTCTGAAGATCCCCTAAAGTAAGGCATTCCTGTTGACAGAGGAATGGAGGCTGGCATGCAACTGCCTACTCCTTACCCTTCTGGTTTTAAATGGGTTGCTGTCCTGCAGCCTCCTTCCCCCTCCCTTGCATCTCCTAACAGTGGAGGAGGGAATGAGGGTGCAGCTAGCACCACTGTCTTCCCCTCCAGCGCAGCACAAGGAGCAGTTAGTTGTGCATGTGAGAGTGATATGGTGGCTGGCAGCAGAAGTAGTGATGTCTGGGGTGACACTTAACTTCCTGCCCCAAGTAGCATAAAAGCTTCTGTTGTTCCCACCTGGAGCACTTGAAATTCCATATGCTACCATCTTTTAAATTTTATTTTAATAATCCAGTAAAGGTAATACACAAGCCTGAATTTGATGAAGGATAATTGTAATTTTGCTATGGACACCAAAACCAGCAAACCAGATGACATAACAGCAAAACAACCAGGGCACGGAGTTTGAAGAAGAGCTGCCATGATGCGCAACTTTGACTTGCAAAAGGTGAGGAGTACAAAGCCAAGTGTGTCATGCCTATAGTCAAGCATGGTGGTGGGAGTGTCATGGTCTGGGTCTGCATGAGTGCTGCTGGCACCGGGGAGCTACAGTTCACTGAGGGAACCATGAATGCCAACATGTACTGTGGCATACTGAAGCAGAGCATGATCCCCTTGCTTTGGAGACTGGGCTGCAGGGCAGTATTCCAACATGATAATGACCCAAAACACACCTCCAAAATGACCACTGCTTGCTAAAAAGCTGAGGGTAAAGGTGATGGGCTGGTCAAGCATGTCTCCAGACCTAAACCCTATTGAGCATCTGTAGGGCATCCTGAAATAGAAGGCGGAGGTGTACAAGGTCTCTAACATCCACCACAGAGGTGTACAAAGTCTCTAACATCCACCAGTTCTGTGATGTCGTCATGGAGAAGTGGAAGAGGACTCCAGTTGTCGTCGTTTAGTCATTCAGTCACGTCTGACTCTTTGTGACCCCATGGACCAGAGCACGCCAGGCCCTCCTATCTTCCACTGCCTCCCGGAGATGGGTTAAATTCATGTTGGCTGCTTCGATGACACTATCCAACCATCTCATCCTCTGTCGTCCCCTTCTCCTC